TATAACAATTTCGAAGATGCAATGGAAGTTGAAAGTTCGTGTTGTCCGTTTGTGGGACGTACCGGATCGTTTTAATCCAGGCACTATATTCTCGATTGAATTGGTTCTACAAGATGAAAAGGTATTTTACATATGTTATATGAATATTTGGGTTTGATGCAAATAAATGTTGTAATCACACGCACAAGCACACATGTACAAAATATAAATAGTTGCGTAAAATTCACAGTTAATAGGACATGAGGATCTGAATTATACATGAGTTAGGCTGCACTCTACAACAAAGTAGTTTTCGAAAGCAATGGGAGGAAAATCCATACTCTTCAAATGATCCTCCCTTCTGAATTGCATATGAGCTGCATATTTATAGATTTGTTCAACTTTACTATGCAGCAAACGTATAAACTAATTCCTTTGGTTCTCTGTTTGTCGGATTTGTATTCGTCCTCAAAACAGTTGTACAAATATAAACAGGGGACAGAAGGGGTTGAAAAAAAATTATTTCGAACTAAAGTTATTTCGAATGTCCAAAAAAAGTTTCACTTGCAAATATGGATATTTTCCTCTATTACTACAACTGACCTACTATGCAGGAGACTTGCATATGACCTGCATAATTCTAGATTTGTTCAACTTTACTATGCAGCACATTTGTTTAAATTTTTCATCGAAAGTATAAACTAAATCCTTTGTTTATCTGTTTCTCTGTTTTGTATTCGTCCTCAAAACAGTTGTATGAATATATACAGGGTACAGAAGGGGTTTAAATAAATTTATTTTCAAGTTAAGTTATTTAGAATTATCGAAAACAGATTCACTTGCAAATCTGGATGTTTTCCTCTATTACTATAGCTGATTAATTTGTTTAACGCTACCGTTTACGACTATAGTTAATAGTTAATATAAATTACCATTAACATAAAAGTTTGTAATGTTTGTTATTTAATGTAATTTCTTTTTAGGGTGATCGTATACATGCTTCTATTGGCAAGTCAGCTTTGCATCTTTTCAAACCACAAATTAATGAGCTTGGATTATATGATATGGCGAACTTTATTGTTTGCCAAAACAAGGAGAGGTTCAACAGCACAAAACATAGACTGATGCTGACGTTTACTCAACGGACAACAGTGGCTGAAACAACTGATCCACTTTTCCCAATGAATATCTTTGAGCTGCGACCATATCATGAAATCATAAATAAAGTTGATGTTAACGAGAGTGAATTATTTGGTAATAATAAGTTTTACCTTAATTTATTTTTACAACTATTCTGTTTTGTGCTAACACATTTATGCTACTTATTTGCACATCTTATTTTTGAGCAGATGTGATCGGAGAAATTGTCAATTTCAGTGAGGTACACACGCAAAAATAAGGTGAAATTTCTAGGAAGTTTATGGATATCGAACTAGAAGATGATGAGTAAGAATAAACATACATGAATGGATACTGATACATTTGATAATTACATATGGTAAAAATTATACACTATTTCTATT